TTTGTATAGTAGCCTCTTCTACTTTCTCCAATAAGTTTTCTGTTTTTGTTGGTGTGAAATTCGGTACAAGTGATCGTCGGGGAGAGTTAATTTCAAATAATATAAAAAAAATAAAATGATTAATAGTAATAATAATTATTAGTATTTAATTTATTCTAAGAAAAATACATTTAAAAGATAAAATATATAATTTTTTTTTTTTTTTTAAAATATTAAGGTGAATACTTGTGACTCAGGCTTTTATTGATAGTATATTTGGCTAATGATTGCTTTACAACCATAGAGAGCAATCATGAAGAGAGTATACAACTAGTCATTCATATAACTTTAGTTATTGTCTAATTTAAGTAGTTTGCCTGAAGGTTCTACACTAGCTGCCATACCTGGAACCCACTTGTAGATTCTCTATTTAACTACTCTGTTTCTATATCCATCCATCTACTTTTGTTTACCAATGATCATAGCCGATGTCGATGAAAATATACTATGGTCATTAAGTCTTTAAAGCAGTTCTTTGAAACTTTTAACCTTGTACTAAACCTTTTAAAATCTTCTGTATCCTATTCTTACAACTGATCTGGTATCACTATAGCTGAGACCAATACTGGCAGTCAGAACATACTATTAAATCACTATGCCCTTGTAGAGTTCACCCAACCCTAGCACTAACTTCACAACATATTCTTATTACTTTGGTATTCAATTCAAGTTCCACCAAACTGTCATTCCAGATAACTTGAAAAGGTAGGTCAAAACTATACACCTCTGGTTTACATGTTTGTCAGCATGTATCCTTTTCCTCTAGAACTCGGAAATTCTGACAGTCTGGTTGGTTTATCTGGTCCCTCCTCAAAAACCAGCATATTTGTTCAGTTTTACAAGTTCTAGCTCCATTTCATAAGTCTAGTCTTTATAGTAGCACTGTCAAAAGCTCAGGTTATTTCTCTACTCAAATCTTCCAAGTGAACTTCCATCTTCCTTTTATTGGTTCTTATGATTTGCATGACTACAAGAACTTATTGTAGGTTTGCACCACTTGGTACTAGTTTGCATTTCTTTGTGTAATTACAGACTTTGTCCCAAAGAACAATGTCATATGACTGTTATACAAATGCCATGTGACCTGCCAGTTATGCTAGTGTAATATAGATTACAAATGTCTTATCCTAACCAATTGCGAGAGACAATTAACCATAATACAGGAAGAATTTTTAAATTTTCTGTTGACACTGGGATTTGAACTCTGGATCTGCCACTTGGGAGTTGACAACCTGACCACTTTACTAGGTTGCCACATCCCTTTATATAATTTTTGTTTTTTTATTATTTTCTTGATTTAATATATGAACTTGATACTATTAATTATTAATTAGAATTAAATAATTTAGTATTGTTTTTAATAAAATAAATTAAATAATACCAAAATAATATAATAATTATTAATAATTAGTAAAATAATTAATTTTTATAAATATTTTTTTTTTATCAAATTTGTCTTTTTTTCTATACCAAACCTATATTATCATAATAAATTGTAAATTTTTTAAAAACTTCAATATATACAAAATTATTATTTCTAATTGAATGTATATTTTGAATATTGATCTCTTTAACTATATGTTAAATTTTATCAAATAAGTTTTACATAATTAGTGTAAAAACCATGTAATACAAACCTTTGAGCAATAATTAATATTAGTTTCTAGATTTTAGAGCCTCAAAATAATAAGAAATACATCTGAAATAACACATATGACAACTGATAAGCTGAGAAATATAATGAAAATAATAATCTTTGCACTAGATAATCTATATAATAATTATAAAGAAGAACCAAGAGTCAGTAATAAGTGGTTATGTCAAATTTACTATAAATTTTCTTGAATATACATTGCCTCTCAAAAAGATTCATTTATTAATGATTCATACATCCTCTACTCCATTTTTTTAAATGCCAGATTAGTGGAAATAGCTTGGCTAAAGATCTTATTGCGATGTCCGTTAATCTGACATTTTAAAAAATGGGGTAGAAGGTGTGGTGCTTATTACAGTAGAATACGGTACCCAGATACTCGCATCCGACTTTACGATGTTAATTGAAATTATTAAACTATTTCGATTATAAAATGTGATAGCATTTTTAATTAACTAATATAAATTATAACAAACTAGCCCATATGTAATATTTTTTTAGTCCAACCAGTTTTGGCTCAAACGATAACGGTATGAGTCCGAATTAAGTCCATATAGCTCCATTCTAACTACTTAACGTCTAAATTTTACGAATCCGTAAAATTAAATAAATAGAAGTTTTCCGAATTTAACATGGTAATTATCAAAGATAACTTTGCTTCAATTTAATTTACAAGATATGAAAATCAAATGTGAAGAGAATTGATAGAAAAACAATATTCTTTTAAGTAAATTTTTAAACACTATAAACAAGTTGTATTATTGTTAATGTATCGTTATCGTTATATAATAAAGCCATAAAAAGTATCGGGTGTAATGAGTACGTACGACAAATGTATACATAATTCATATTTAATTTCTGATTACCCAATCAGGCTTATCTTACATCAAAGAAAATTTTTATTAGGACACAAAAGTTATTTTCATAACCGAAATTCGGGTTACGGGCTGTTTTTTAAGAAACGTCAATCTATATCGATCAATGGAAATCTGTAGACTCTGCATTCCAAGTAGATTCTTGTTCATATGATGAATAATTGTATTACCTTAACATGTGTGACAGATAATGTTGATCAAGTTTTTAAATACTATTTACCCCTTTATAAAAGACACACGTGATTTTTTACTAATAATTTTCTTTTTTTTTACTAATTAAATAAGAGGGTGAAATATGGCGTGTTATAAAACTCGGTATTACTACGTATATTATTGTACTTAATGTTATACGTGACGAAATCCAATGCAAATATTCACATGATAATTAAAAATTTGATCTTGTGCTTCGATCAAAAAAAAAGCCATCGGCATGAATTACCAGTTATGATTAGAGAATTCATCTTTTTAAAGCGTAGAATTATTTCAATTGTAGAGTAAATAAATGCTCGTGTAACCAATTATTTATTTAACGTTTGGATTAGAAGTTTTCCTATTTTATTTCTCGGTCTTTTTGTTTTGCAGTGACTCAAATGTAAATAATGTAAATTCAAGAAATGTTAATTTGGAGAATTATTTGGACGAGAATTAAATTACTTTTTCTATGCAGGTCTTTTTACGATAATCTTAATGTCACCTCACCAAACCTCAATTTTGTGGAAAAAGCTTGGGCTGCTTGGTTCAATTCTTTCGAAAATGAAGCTATCGCCACCGCTATGATAGCTTTCATAATGCATGAAGTTGTTTACTTTGGACGTTGTGTACCCTTCTGGATTGCAGACTTTATACCCTTTTTACGAAAATATAAGCTTCAAGCTGTAAGCGAGCATATATCTGTATTGATTATTATCATTCAAAAAGTTAATTCATGATTGGATCATTAATATGTCACATCATTTATTTCTATGGATAGAATAAATCTAATACATTAGAAGAACATTGGCAATGTCTTAAATCTGTTCTTTTTGCTCACTTTTGTATCGAACTTCCATTAATATTCGGTTTTCATCCCGTGGCCACGATGTTTGGAATGGAAATAACCACAGTTCCATTCCCTCATTGGCAGACATTGGCATTTCAAGTGGCCGTATTTTTCGTTTTTGAGGACACATTCCATTATTGGTTTCATCGTTTATTACATTACGGCCCTTTTTATAAGTATATTCATAAACAACATCATGAATATTCTGCTCCTTTCGGATTGGTAGGCTTTCAACAAGATTACATAGATTGACAATGTGCAGAAATTTAACAAGGATTTGTATTAAATTTTAGACGGCCGAATATGCACATCCACTCGAAGTAGTTATTTTGGGTACTGGAACTATTGGAGGACCGCTTTTGTGGGTCGCAATTACTCATGATCTTCACCTTATTACCGTTTTCATTTGGATTAGTTTACGTCTGTTTCAAACTATTGATGCACATTCTGGCTATGGTATTGGATGCTGATTCTATCGAATATAAGCACTTTTTTTTTACGTTCGTAAAATTTTAATCTTGATTTTTTTTTTTCCTTTTCACTCTATTATAAAGATTTTCCATGGTCTCTTCGTCATTTCATTCCGTTCTGGGCAGGCGCTGAGCATCACGATTATCATCATATGGCATTTGTTAATTGTTTTTCTACTTCGTTTAGATGGTGGGATCATTTAATGGGCACTGATTTAAAGTACAGAGCTTATAGACAAAAGAAAGAGGCCGAACTCAAAGCTAAGGGAAAAGCGAAAGTAAAAGCAAATTGATTTAATAGATTTGTAATGTGATACTATATATTAAATATTTAAGTTTTTGTTATAATAAAAGTAAGACTTGTAAATTCATATAAGATTTGGAAAACAAAGTATTTTTTGCCGGGACGGTCAACTGACACAGCATTCACAAGCATCACTTCGGCTTTTGCTGTGCCGATTGGAAAGTCATGTGAATCGGTGTTATTAATGCTGTAATGTTCTCAGTGTTCTCAAGGATATTAAAATATTTTTGAGAACACAATATTTAAAGACTGTGTTCCTATTTGAGAACATAAAATTTGTAATTTGTATTATAAAAATAAATTTTTAAGCATTTTTGAGAACCTAAAATTTAAAAAATTTACATTTCCGGAGAACAAAAAAATTTTTCATAATATTTTTTCATTGATGTAAACCGTCCTTTATCTATCGCTATTGCGTATTGTGTGATATTTGATCACGTGTAATTATCGTATTGGAGGTTTGTTCATTATCATTACAGGTGCATACGTACATACGTACAATTTAGCTGGTACCAATGATTAACTTTTAATTGTCGGTTACGTAATATACCGTATATTTAATATATATAATAATTTAGATAGTGCTTAAATGAACTAAACGAACTTCAAACACTTAACCAAATTCTCCAAGTCTAGTCGATCATTTCAAAACTATTTAGAACACTTTTGTTCTCGCAAGTCATTAATATTTTCGAATAATACCTGAGGTTAGTGCTCTCATGTTTCTTGCTAACAAATATTTAGACGATTCTTTTCAACTTCCTGATTTCCAATTTTGGTGTTTTTTTTTTTTTCTTTTTTGTGAATTGCTGACAAAAAGGAATAAAAAATAAATTTAACTTGGACTTCAGACAAGAAAAGTACACATTTATTGAACCCTTTAAAAAAAATTATATGTTCAACTATTCTTGTTAATTATTTTATGACAGTAAAAATATGAAAAGTCCAAGACATACCTTACTTGGTAAATCAAGATTTTTTAAAATCTTTGCCAAAAATATCAATGATGATTCGAAAGATAGAGCCATCACTCGTCGACAATTGTCATCCACAAAATATCCGAATTATTCAGAAGTCGAAGATGAAGGTTTTTTTACAGTCGAAGACTCGGCTACTAAAATAGGTACGTAAAATTTGTATTTGAAATTTTGTTTGCATGTTTGTTAACAATGGGTTTCAGTTATTAATCTCCAAAATTATATATTTTATGATTTTTAATTCATATTCTAATATTAGACTTTCTAATTAAACTTCCATATGAAATCGCTGCATATATACTTGTATTCGTTAATTTTCAAACTTTATGTCGAATGTCACGAGTGTCACGAGCATGGAAATATATATCTCAAGATAATGAACTTTGGCGTGGCATGTATATGGCAAATAAAGGTTGGAAGACATCCATACCGCGTGAAGCAACGCTTGCAGGTGAAGTCACTTGGAAGGAGTTGTACAGAAACAGACATATTCTTGCAATGCGATGGAAGAAAGGCGATTGTGAAAAGACATATCTTAATGGTCATACGGACAGCGTATATTGTATACAATTTGACGAACATAAAATTGTAACAGGATCGCGTGATAAAACCATTAAGTTCTGGGACATTAAAACTGGTGAATGTTTTCAAACATTATATGGTCACGAGTTATCTGTCTTGTGCTTACAATACAATGATAAGATTATGGTTTCGGGCTCTAGTGACAGGACTATTATTATTTGGGATATGCAGAGGGTTGGTATGCAGAAGATCAATAATTCAATAACACAATTGCGACGCCTCACGGGTCATTCCGCAGGTGTTTTGGACATTTGTTTCGATGATTTTTATATCGTTTCTTGTTCGAAAGATAGTACGATTAAAGTTTGGGATATAAATACAGGTACATGTCTTCGTACTTTAACAGGTCATCGTGGACCTGTTAATGCTGTTCAACTTCACGGTAATAGAATTATATCAGCGTCAGGTGATGCTTTAATTAAACTCTGGAATTTAGAAAGTGGTGAATTCCTTAAAGACTTTATTGGCCATACAAGAGGGTTGGCCTGTGTTCAATTTGATGGTAAATGGGTGGTTTCGGGTTCTAATGATAAAACTATTAGAATTTGGGACGTCGAAACTGCACAATGTGTCCGTACACTAGAGGGGCACACTGATTTAGTTAGAACATTACATTTTGATGAAGACAAGATTGTTAGTGGAAGTTATGATCAAACTGTTAAGGTTTGGGAATTAAAAACAGGAAAGCAATTATTAGATTTTAAAGAAGGTCACACAAGTTGGGTATTTGATGTCCAATTTAGCTCAACAAAAATTGTTAGGTAATTATATATTCATAACTTGATAATTTCTTTATTATATCAATCAACGACTTCTTTTACTGAATCTTTAAAATATTAACATATCAAATAGCACAAGTCAAGATCAAAAAATTTTAGTTATGGATTTCTCCGATGAATTGGATACGAAATATATTCTATGATTTATGATTTACGAAGTATATTTTATGAACATTTAACAGAACATTTCACAATTTTTTTTTATCTTCAATTTACATCACACACTCCAGTATTTCACTTATTTTCGAATAATCACTTCGACTAGTCGACTGCTCGAACATTTTGCGAATGTTTGGATTTTTCTGGAATATAAATGACTCCTTTCTATAGCTTTATATCAATAGAGTTTGACATATCTTTTCTTTTTATCAATAATCAATACATTCTTTTTATATCGAATTTTTTATTTGTAATAATTTATTGGATTGTCATTCATTTAAATTGTTTTAATTTGTGGTTTAGAAGCTATACAATTTGATTTGTAAGAGAATTGTTAAGGATGGTAAGGTGGCTTAATTTTGTTGTTATTGCTAATAATGATTGACGTTAATAAAGAGTAAAGTTTTACAACAATTAATATCAATGATTGATCAAATACATAATTACGAATAAAGTTTGTGTATATTAAATTTATTTCCAATAAAAATAGAAAACGAACATCATGATCAATTTTATCATGGTCAGTCTCGAATTTTTTTTTTCCAAATCCGAGAAATTATTTATTTAAAAAATTACTGATTCTTGTTTGCTAATTTCCCCCAAGTTTTCAAAAAGGTGTAACCAGACGCAGATCACAATATCTCGAGAAATTTACGAAATTTCCAGAATTTTCAAAGCCAGTATTCAATATTTGCAAATCAGAATTTTTTTTTCGACTTCCACATAGGTATATGGAAATCGTTGTTCACACCTTTTTGAAAACAGTTATAAAGGCATTTAAGGGGTAATTTGCCTAAAAAAAAATAACGAATTTCTTAGTAAACAAATCCGGAATTTATATACAGCACAGGAATGGGGCTCGTTTACATATGAAAGTTTTTTTTTTTAAACAAGTCTTTTGACTTCTAATAAAGTTATAGAGCTAACTTTTCTGATTCTAATGGTAGTAAAAATCATTAAAATCGGCTTAATTGTCTGGAGCGAAGCGATAAATTTGTCCCGACAGAGTCTCGATTTTGATTGACTAAGAGTGACAATCAAAATTTTTGGCCGAAATTACCCCAGCCGCCTATTAAGTGAACCATTGCGTGGGCCTATTTCTTTGAAAATTTCTATTTTTGGGGTCGGCTAAGCCGTATAGTTACGTGATGTATGGCCAATAAAATTGTTTGTTGTGATCGACACGGGCATTAATAAAAAATGTCTGAAAGATGGTGGGAGGCATAAGAAAATTTTTGGGCATGTTTCTATAAGCATGCCTTAGGCTAAAGGCATGTTTCTTTATGTCTGAGCATGTTCTCTTGAATAATTTTTCATTATACAATATGTGCTAGAATAACATGCATTAATTAGATTTTTCAAATTTTTTTTTTAAAAAATAACTTTATAGTTCAAGGTTTTTTTTTTTTTTTTTTTAGTTTCAAGAGCGATCTTGCCTGTGTGTTTTTTTATTATTAATAATGTATGATTACATGGTATATCAATGAAAGTACTAGTCACACATATAACTTTAGTCATTATCTAATTAAGAGTTTTGTTCATAGGTTACCTACTAGATATCATATCTGAAACTTGCCTATGAGTCTCTTATTTAAACTTTCTGATTTTCTATATCTGAAATATGGTACATTACTATGATTGAGACAGAACAGGTTAGGGTTATTTAATTACTATTTATATCTAAGTACTATCTTATTGGATATTACTAAGTATTTATAGTTCTTTTGAATTTACTTTTAATGCAAACTTATTAAGTATAGTATCAAGATTATCTTTTAGATTTTATCTAATTTTAGTAGATATTATATTTACTAGAACTGGTTTGATGTCAGAAGTGTTTGAATTTCAGTAAGTTCATTTATTTTTTATAGTTTTTTTTTTATATTTATTATATCATTTGTTAGTATACTTTCTCTCTATTTCTGATATGTTTTTTGTTTTTCTTGTATTGAATATTAACTTTTTATATTAGAAAACTTCTTTTTGGAAACTTTTTTATATATTGATTTTTTATTCACATGGACTTAGTTACAGAGTTTTGCATATATTCATATGTTTTTGTAGATTACAGAGTTTTTGTCTCCAGCTAAAATTGAACTGTTGATCTTGTTTGTGAAAAAAAAGGCATTTAGACTATTAGGTTATAGAATCCCATTCCTGGTTCAAGAATTTTATTAGAATTTTTAAACTTTTTTTAAATAATAAAATTATTTTTAGATATATTAGAAAAATTAAATTTATATTTGACTTTATTTATTTAATATAAAAATTGAACTTATAAAAACTTAATAAACTTTTTTTTTTATTAAATAAGAAGTTAATTGTTTAGTTAGTAATATTTTAAGTATATCTATAGTTTGTAAGAATACAATTAATTATATATATAATTTTAGTCATTGTTTATTTAAAAGTTTTGACCTATATAGATATGATGATTTTAGTGAAATGATCAAGTTGTTGCATCCTAAGTGACAAGATCTAAGGTTCAATTCCTATTAGCGATAAATATTAAAAATTAAAAATCTTGTATGCCTTAATTGATATGTTGTTTTAATTAGGAATGTTGGTTTATTGACTGTAATTTGTGATATAAAACCAAGTAAAGTTAATAACAGATCTGCAGTAATCTGTGTTATAGTGTCTATATTCGAAAGCAAATAACTGCAAAGAGTTTGTTCTGATTAGGAATATAGAGAAATACAAGCTAATATATAGATGTATCTCTGAATATTGTAAAATAATCAGTATAAACACAAGATAAATTCATATTAGGTTATAGTAAATCTGTGTTGGAAAATCTACAAGAACACTAATTAGAAAGACTACTTGAAAAGTCCTGAGTATGGTATTCATATCCAAAAGCAAATAATTACAGAAAGTTTTCAATTAGAAATATAAAGAAATACAAGCTAATATACATAGATGTATATGAAAACATTGTAAAATAGTTAGTGTAAACATAAGATAAAACTATATAAGGGTTAATATAAATATGCAGAATAGGAACTGCATAGTTTATTTAGTGTTATCACTACACAAACAATAAACAAAAATACACACAAACCAGTCTTTTTTTACAAATACATAAATGCAGATACTGTCTTACTAAAAGATACAACTGATTGTAATTAGTAAGGAAAATGTTATATAAAGGCAGACAGTCAAGCCTTTATATATAGAAGGCCAAGATTATAATGGTTCAACTCAATATACAGAGCAGACTATGGTACCTTGCACAGCTATGAGAGCCAAGTATATAATGATCATCTTGTAGAAGACAAACTTAAAAGATCATTCATTATCAATATCTTTAAACTCCTATGATTTTTATACATGTTTTAATAAATCCTTTCTTTATTACAACTTATCACTTTTTTCATATGGCCAAACTATTCAATCCTTTATATAACATATTGACAAACATAACTATAATAACACTGTCCCTAGTATTACCTTTTCTGTTAACAACATCTATCATAAAACTCATATATACCTTTCAAATGACTTATTCTTATCCAATTATACTGTTATTTATTCTCATCTTCTTCTAATTTTTTATAACTTATCTCTTAAATCAAACATCTCTAATTTTACTCCTATCTTATTCAACTTATTTTTTAATGAACATACAATATCACAAGTATCTATATTAACACAACTTTTATGAAACCTATATTTAAATATCTGTATACACAATGTTAGAGGTTTTAATACAATAACCAAAAGAGAAGCTTGGCAGAATCATTGTCTTTACAATAATATCCATATTGTCTATATTACTGAAACCAAAATCACTAACAGTACTAATCTTCAATTCTATAACAACAATCTATTCTCTTACTTCTGGCCTAACTCTGAAAGCTTGACAGAAGGTACTACTATTATGATTCACAAATATCTACAACCTCATATACATAATTGCCAAACACATTCTGGTAGAGTAATTGTTTTGAATCTCTTCTTCAAAAATGAAATTAAACTTCAAATTATAGCTATGTATCTCTCTTTTACTAATATGAAAAAATGAAACAAAACACAGAATATAGTCATTATATAAATTCAACAAGCCTTCTAATACAATCTTTATCCAATAATACTCAGAAACTTTAATACATAAAATAACATTTGCAGCTTATCATCTAAATTCCAACTTATTAACTATCTACATCACTTCAACATGTTTGACCTTGATGCACATGTTAACAACAAGCATTTTATATAGTCAAACAATACTAGTCATAGCCATATTGATTATATCTGAACTGATTTATTTAATATTTAATTTTTTCTTTTATATAAACTTGATAATAGCAATACTTCAACATTTAGTGACTACTCTATTCTAACATCTACCTGGATCTTTACTAATGTATACAGCAAACCTCCATGTCATCATACTGGTATCAGTCACAAAATCTTTAACTACAAAGATATGTCAACTGACAAATGGACAGAATTTTCAGATCTTCTTTCTTATAACCTTAGACTACAAAATACATCACTCAATAGCAATACTAATAAAAGTATTAAAACCACTTGGCATAAGATTGAACATTTAATAATTAACATTGCAATACAATCTATTTCTAACAAAAAAACCTGTAAACATAGATATAATTATCAATATTCCTCTTATTCCACTCTACTCTATACATCACTTAAAGAGCTTAGATATCTAATTAAAATTGTCAAACAAATTTACAACAACCTCAATATTAACATAATAAACTTGAAGATTTAGAACATTAACAACAAATCTTATTGCAACTTTCAAGCTTTTAATTCAGATGACTACTTTCAAATTCATACATGGATTCAACATGCATA